CTCTAAATACAAGCGATGACTGACAGACCGTCAGATAGTGACCGATTTAGGTTCCCCATTTTCGCGTACAAGCCTCGAAGAGGATTCAAAAGCACATCGATGTTAAGAAGAATAAATGAAAATTTACGAGTGGCACTTGGGGATAAAACATGGAAAATTTCATTTTCCTTATCAGAACATTTTTCCGACCCCAAAATGCACTTATACATTCGGGTCATTCAAGAAAATATGTTTTTCGGACTAGTGACGACGTACGTTTTCATACATTTTCTGGACTTGTTTGGAAAAATCGGGCAAAATCTCGATTTTTTCTTAGAATATTACGCCCTTATTTCAACCCTTTAGCCACTTGCAATATTAAAGCCTTTGGTTTTTCAAAGCCTTTTTCTATTAATTAATCATATAGTGAACATAGCTTGCATGGAAATATTGGCAAAAAATAACCTTTTTCCATCTGTTATCCCTAGGAGCCACTCGTAAATTTACTTTCATTCTACTTAAAATCGATGTACTTTTCAACCCTCTTCGAGGCATCTATGCAAAAATGGGGCACCTAACCTGTCACTATCTGACGGTCTCTGAGAAGTGAGGATTGGCCGCGACAGGCAGCAAAAACTACCCCGAGACCGATTTTTCTGTCGTCGACTTCTGTCTCTCGCACTGTTCGCGCCTTGCGACATATGTTTCATATAATTGTGTTCAGACGTAACGTTCTTGATCTCCTTTGCCGTCGCGTCTGCTGTCGTATGTCGTCTGTCGCACGTTCAGCAATGGTAACTTAAGTGCAGCATGTCTCCCCACTGATTTACACGTCAGGTTGTAGTCCAACCGTGCGCAGTCATGTTATTGTCATATAGACTGAGAGCTAGTGGTCAATTTGAGTATCGTGTTCAACACAACGCTGAAAATTTGTGGATTTATAATTTAATACTGGTTGAGTAAAAAATAATGATCTAGAAGGAATATCACAATTGCGACACCTATATTTAAATTTTTAAAAATGTCGAAAACTTGTTAAAAGAAACATGTTTTTACAAAGCTAAAATTTTAAGCAAATATTCTTTGAATATTTAACATAATTACAAATATTTTCAGGCGACTCTGGCGGTTGCTAGTGCCCGTCAGGCAAGTATGCAGGGTGAGACAGTTAAAACTTCCATCTTCTCTTATCTTCATTATTAATTGAGATATCAAAATAATTTTAGTTTTTGTTTAAAAGTTTGGAGTAAGAATTTTATTATAACTGATTCAACTATTCTGTTACGTAATGGCGTACTTTTTCTAAAAATAACAGGCATTTTTTTAATTTTTAGAAGGAAATCCCAATTTTTAATGAAAAATCTAATTTTTTGAATATTTTTGAATAAAAATCATTTATTGAAAATGTCAAAATGACTGCCATGTTCGATAATATTAATTCTTAATTTGTTACTAATAACTATCGTTTAAGGAAAAATATATGGGCATCCATTACCTTTAAAAACTTTTTGTAAGCCTTAGTGTTCCTATTGAGACTAACCCAAATCACACCAGTGGTTTATCTTAACATTTTTGTTAATAGTAAACCAGCTCTCATCTGTCATTATTTTAGATATCGATTTTTTTTGTTTTAAAGCTTCTAACAAGTACTTTTTTAACTGATTTAATTGAAGACTTTTTTAAAAATCACAAATTCTCAAAAATGCTCAAATTGAGTTAACTGTAATAATTAGTGGCTAATTGTATTTACCTGCACAAATGAGCTCTTTGTTCTGTCAGCTGTTAAAATGGATAATATTATTTCTAAATGTGTTACTAATATCTCGTTTAAGGAAGAATATTTGGGAATCCAACATTTTTGTTTATTGGCATACCTCTTAACAATTCCACCCGCTCTTATTTCAATTATTATTTGAGATATTGAAATAAGTTTTTTTAAAGGAAAGAAATAACACTAGGTCCTTAATTTCGCACAGAATTATTTTAATCACGACCAGTTTCGATATTTTCTTATAACCTCATCATCAAGTGACAGTCAGAAAAAGTTCCTCTATTTCAATTGGAAACGTGTCGATAAAGAACATACAAATCAAAGAATTATTCCAAGCGAATGTTTTACAATATGTATGAAATAAAGTAACTTACCGCTAAAGGTACCATTTGGGAATGCGCGACATACGACAAACGACAGCAGAACGACGCAGAAGGAGTTCAAAAACAGTCTCTTCATGTCTGAACACTTGTATTTATATTTCGCAAATCGCGACCAATACGAAAGACTAAACTGGACGACAGGAAGATCAGTCTCGGGGTAGCGTTTGCTGCCTGTCGCGCGGCGCTTAGTCAGCACTTGTATTTCGAGGTGATTAGTTGATATTTTATATATTATAATATATTATATAGATATTTTGATCTATCCTGGGCAGTGTTGCCAGAAAAAAAATTTCTGCAACAGTAGGTGGGTGAAAAAAAAACAGTATATCTGAACAGTAGATTTTAATACAGGGGGAAATAATTATAATTTGCAGTGCAGTAAATAAAAAAAAAACAAGTATATAAGAAACGAAAAATAAACATTTTTCTACCCAAATTAGAAAGTAAACAAGGAATAAAAAACATAAAAAAAATTTTAATATATACTTAACACCCGAAAAAAAAACAATGAAAAATAATAGATCAGTCTGAATCAGGTAATTCAAATACAGTGTGTTTGGCATGCATGTTCTTTTTATGATGCTCTATTAATTCTTTGTTGCACTTTAAATAAAAACATAATGATTATCTTTAGGTTTTTTTGTTATGGAGCAAACCTACAATAGTGGCTGCTTATTACGCTGCTTTTACTTCAGCAAATTTACTAAAGAAAATACTCTTTGATCATTTGCTGAAGAACGAGGCAAATTTAATAAATTAAGAATAAAATTTGCTAAGTTGACGAAAACAGTAGATTTCATGCCTAAAACAAGAACAGAAACAAAAACAGTGGATCTACTTTTAAACAGTATCAAATGGTCGTCTGCAGTAGCTGGTCTTCTTGCCTCGGCTTCCCAAATTTGTAAAACGTAACATAAATTCATCTGTCTCCTTCGTCGTCGCTTCTGCTGTCGTCTGTCGTCTGTCGCACGTTTCCAAATGATACCTTAATAATTGTCTTATTCAGACTAGCTGGGGTATTTCCCAAAGAAGAAAGGTAACATAATAAGCTAATATAGAACATGTTATAGTTCAATGATTAACGAACAAAAAACATATATACAAAGAACAAACTAATTTAAAATAAGTAACGAGAACACATAAATTTAGATTAAAAGCTGTTAAACTATAACAAAATGTGTGAAAATGATTTTAAAAATTAAAGTTTCGTAGTGATAAAAATCTCTAGACATTAAATTAAATAAAAAAATTAGTATAGAAAAATGTATTTTTGTCAGTACAAAAATAAATGTGCATGCTAAAATTGTGACTTATACCTATAGATGACGGGAAGAAAAACTGAGAATTACAAAAAATCCAACAGTCCACACCTACTTATTCTTTAATCTTATAAATATAAAAAGTCTCGTGCTGTTCATCACCATCCCCTCCTCCCTTCTTCTCTACTGTAATTTCTTTCTTTTTCCTCAACTAACAACCTAGGTTTTTTCTTTCTTTAATTTCAAAAATTATTTCTTTTTTATGTCCAATAATTCTTCCAATAAATAATATCAGTTGTCAATTCTAGGTGTTTTCTTCGTTAAAATCAACTTTGTTTCTAATTTTTATTTTTTTATTGCCTTTTTCTTTTCTCTTCTTTTTTTATGTTCCTAAAATTATTTTTCCTTACTTTATTGTTAAGCCCTAGATTATCACTTAAATTGATGGTGCCTTTCAGTTTGTTTAATCTTGTATTCTGTCATAATAATTATAAATTAACAATTCAAACTTTTTTCTTACCGCCATCTATAGGGATAAGTCACAATTTTAACATGCACATTTTTTTTGTATTGACAAAAATACAGTTTCCTAATTTAGTTCACTAATTTAATGTCTAGTGATTTTTATCACTACGAAAAAAATAAAAAGAAAACTTTTCAGACATTTTTTTATAGTTTAGCAGCTTTTAATTTTAATTTTTGTGTTCCTATTTTAAATTAGTTTGTTCTTTGTGTGTGTTTTTTGTTCGTTAATCATTGAACTATAATATGTTCTATATTAGCTTCTTATGTCACCTTCCTTCTTTGAGAAATACCCCAGCTAGTCTGAATTAGACAATTATTAGCGGTAAGTTACTTTATTTCATAATAGTGTAAAATATCCGCTTGGCTTAATTCTTTGATTTGTATGTTCTTTGATACGTTCTCAATTGAAATAAAGGAAGTTACTCCCCTTTTGTTTGTCTTTTTTAGACTATCACTTGATGATGAGGTTATAAGAAAACATCGAAACCGGTCGTGATTAAAATAATTTTGTAACTCACACATGGCGACTACCTTTCAACTTTAATTATTATTTTTTTAATTTGAGAACTTGGAACAAGAATTTTCTTATAACGGATTTAATAATTCTGTGACGTCATGACTTCCGTTTTTTCGGAAATAACAATAAATTGCTGTTTATTTATTATTTTTATTTGGCCTGCAAGAAGCAAAGGCGCCTGTACTATTTTTTGTGGTGAAGTTAAAAAACAAAATGTATAAAATAAGGAAACATTAATTAAACAAGTTGCTAAACAGACAATTGTAAATAAATTTGCAGCAGTTCCTCCAGCAATGCTGCAGAAGGCAAAAAATAAATTAAAAATACGTTTGGAATTGTTTTTAAATAAACAAGCTGGTCATTTTAAAAAATTGTGTGTAAAATTTAAGGACTTTTATGTTATTGTTTTGTTTTATAATAATTTACAGTTAAATTATATTTGCAGTAGATAAATTGTTATCTTTTTTAATGAAAAGAAACTTTTCAAAATAAAGATGTATTATCAGATGTAGTTCTTACACATATCAAAAAAATATTTACTGAGGATGTTAATGAGAATTACTTACGAATATGAGAGTATTTTTGTGTCCTCTTGAAACTTTTCGAAACTTGAAGTTTTTCGACTGTACAAGTTTGTATTTCTTGATAGTTTTCTTGATCTTTCGATTTCTTGGTAGACGAATTACTCTGAAAAGAAAATAACTATTAGAAAAAAATACTTATTTGTAGTTTTATTTAATAGTTTGATTTAATTAAAGTTCGTAATTTTATACTGTCTTATAAATTCGATGAGGAACTTTATAAATTCAACTAGGAATCATATGAAGGCAATACGAGTTTCCGAAAATTTAACTCATTAAATTTTCTCGAAAATGTTCATAGGTACAAAAAGTTAATAATGGTGTGTCTATTTATTAATTGTAAATTGTAATATGATATACACGATTGTTACATTTAGAAAATGAGGGCTAAAGCAGGCTTCTTCCAAAATTAATCTTTCAATGTCATTTTTAACAATTTAAGTCATAGCATGCTTATACAGAGTGGAACAAAAGTTGGAAACGCCGAATTATTTCATAAATGGGTAGTCCAAATTGTACAAAATATGGCGTAAGCCTATTTTGGGACAAGGAGATTCTGATATTGTTATTCACTTTGCTTTTTTTAATACATCTGTATGTTGTGTCGCTATTTTAATATCCCCCTCAATACGAGGTCAACCATATTTCACTTGAGAATTGACGTAGTTAGGATATAATTATTTTAAAAGTTGGCTCTTTGGATTTTGCATCCAGTATTTGTGCATAAGATCAAATAAATCTAGAATGGTGTGAATTTGACAGTAGATCGCTAGATACATTATTACATAGCTCTGAGAAATCCTAGAAAAAGCATTAAAAACAAATTTTGACCCATTACATACGCCATGATAAATGAGTTTTAAGAGGGCACTAATGACAATACAAATATTTGCTAGTTAATAACTAATTTTTTTATGGTTTATTGTATACCATACCAAAACATCTTTGGAATTTGATAGCTGTAAAGAGACCATTGATAATTGTTTGAAATTACGCCCAAAATGTCAGGATTCGCGCATGCATTGCTCGGCCGCAAAACACTGCTTCGGTCGAGTCGACCAGAAAAATTGCAAAAACATTGGCTCTTTGGAGCATTCTAAAATTAATATGTCTTGATAATACTAAAATTTAGTTTATATAAAATAACATTCACACGCAATATTTCAGAGTGAAATTAACCCTTAAACTTTGAAATTAATATTTATTTATATTATGAAGACGATCAGATCGCAACTTGATTTTACATTCAAAAATGCATAAATACAATAACTAAAATACACTACAAGCGAAAACCCCATCGAAGCCATCAAACAGGGTGAAAAGACGATCTGATCCCAACCAGGATGAAATTAACCCTAAAACTTTAAAATAAATGGCGATTGTCGCTTACAGTGTTACAAATTAGGATCTGATCGTCTTCATAAGATAAATATTTATTTTAAAGTTTAAGGGTTAATTTCACCCTGTTAGACGGGTACAAAGATATTTTCGCTTACAATGTATTTTAGTTAATGTATTTATTAATTTTTTAATATAAAATCAAGTTCGGATCTGATCGTCTTCATAGGATAAATTTTTATACTAAAACTTAAGGGTTAATTTTACCCTGTTTGACAGCTTTGAAGGGATTTTCGCTTAAAGTGTATTTTTGGTTATTGTATTTATACGCTTTTGAATGTAAAATCAAGTTGGGATCTGATCGTTTTCATAAGATAAACATGTCTATGTCTAATAAATACATAGATTTGATTGTAATAATAAATTATTCTGACCCATTTACACTATTGTTTAATTCTGATATTCATTTTTATAATAATTATTCTAGATGTGCTAAATTTAATTATATAAACTAAGCTTTTTAATCTTGACAAATCTGAAGTATTTTCATTACTTAAAATCTTCATAGACATTAACAGAAATTAGAAGTAATAAATTAAAAATCAGTTTAATCGATGGAAAAATAATTATAGTGTCGAAGTAAATTTAAAATCCCGCCAATTTTCAAATTAAAATAGCATTACACCTTCCTACACTACCGACTGAGTATTAGTTGCACAAAACTATCCCATATGTCGCTAAAAGCAAACATGTTGCCAAATTTTTATAAAGAATCGGCAACTCAAAATCATCCTCCTTCCATGGGTGGGCACTTATGCCGCGTTTGAATATCCACATCGGATTACATGATAGAAGATTAGATCTGAATGTAGATGTAATAAACAAACGCTCTAGACTTTATTGGTCATGTGATAAAATGACAATGACAAGTTAGAAGATTATATTCTTTAAATTTTACTTTTGAGACTGGAAATCAACCTAAATTTATATTCTAAACAAAAATTAAACACACTAATCACTTTTATATTCACGCTAGCATAAATAAAGGATAAATCAATAATCTTGGCTTCACAGAACACCTACTTTCTGGCGTGGAACGAACATCTCATTTACATCTCATTTCAAATCGAGAAAAAATGTAATCTGAACAGCTACATCTCAGATAAACAAACGCGTATGTAAATGTAGTAGATGTGTCCGACGCTCGAGATGTAATGGATATTCAAACGCAGTATTAGATATAGCCCCTGAAACATTCACTGTCCTGCACGAGTCTTTTCCTGATTGTGCGACGTTTGTGCCAACAAACCCACGACTACCGAAGCATTGAAGGCTGAATGTAGACACTATATCAACGAAATTCCGCCACATATTTATATGCAACAAGGTTATTAAAAATTTTACAAAAAGGGTACGCATGTGCTAGCAAAGTCTTGTGCTGTAGGTACCATACATAATTCCCAAAATGTCTACATTCTAAAAAGAAATAATATTTTAATCCATTGGTACAAAAAACATGTTTCATTAAACTTTCAAATCTTGCGCTCTTTGTATGAAGAATTTACCTTACCTACAAGTATCTAGGCCCAGGCTGCAACAAAGCATTCGATTATTTCCGAGGTTTCCTAGACTCGGAAATATCGCGCGTAAGGTTTTGAATTTCTTTCTAGTTATATTAATACCATTTCTGGGGAAAAAAATTAAATGTAAAGATAAGTAGATTAAAAGAATCTTATGAAAAAAATATTAACAAAAATATTTAATTAATAATGTGTTCTCTGGCGACGACGACATAATACCTATGTGATTTTGGTAGACGAAGGACCAGATTTTTGCGCGTTTACCTACCTACCTTCTCTATTGCCGTCCCAGAAAGAGGGATTTCCTTCCGTTCAGCTGGATGCAATATAAATTCGAATACGGATTCGGAATCAAAAAGGACAGAAACGAAATTTGAAATCCGAATACACGAATCGAATGCTTCATGTTCTGTGTTCATGACAGAGCCGATTGCGGGATTTGCGGGTGGCAACCGATGCGAAATCGGAATCACCCTAACTATAGCGTTGTTGCAATTCATAGTCCCATTAGTCGGCGCATGCACTCAGCATATTTTAATGGTAACATAAAGTTGTATAAATAGATAAATAATATTTGAGATTTATCTTGTGTTTTTTATTTTAAAATATTAAAAACTTCTGCTACATCACTCTTAAGGCACAAATTCTGCTAAGGTTCAGATTTCTCATGTCGCGGTGTATTTACGGTTACGTATTAATATGATTTCACCAAATGGAATATGAATATGTATCCGGACTAAAAAGTTACCGATATTTACAGCACTAGAGTCAAGAGTGAGAGTTGATGTGCCAGCGGGTGTGCTTTCGCCGTGATTGGCTAAAGGAGATCGGTTATTATGGTTATTATAGATTCTAGTATATAGCAGTGGCAGAAGTTGGAAAGGCTTTTGCTTTTGGTAGGTAGAGAGAGGGTAAACGTGAAACCACGTCGGATTACTTCGAAAATTTGTAATATTCACAGAACACTTACTCTTAGAACGGTAACTCCCATGTTAGAAAACCACCTGGTGGACGTGGTTGATTTTTTTCAATTAAGTCCTTATCGGGTAAGAGGCCATATGAAAAAAGAACAGAAGAAGAAGAGAAGAAAAGCGCGGGGCAATACAAATTTGACAGTAAAAATTACTCGCATTACACAAAAATCAATATTCACCTGTCATCTGTCATTACACTCCCACCACCCGCCCCACCACACGACTGCAGCACTAAGTGAACATGGTTGATTAAAACGCTACCCCAGTCTTGCGCATAGGAGTTTCCCCCTCTGGTAATGTTTATCTGCCTGTAGTGTTTCATGGAATAAATAATTTGAAATTGTTGTAGGCGGAACCGGACAATCGCATGTATTTATAGATTATAAATAATTATTAAACAAGTATTATAATATCCCAAATCATAATTCTACAAAATTTCAAAAGCTATTCAAAATGTATTTAACTATTTTCCCGAAATTGTTTTTAACATCTATTAAATAATTTTGTACGCTAATGTATCGCGTCCACTTGGGTTAGCTTTGCTGAAAAACTGTCTTGTAAGATAAGGATGCTGCCTGTGTAACAACCGGGAAGTCTAAAGACCACGGCTTGTCACCAAATGTGACAACCAACTAGCCTAAAAACCATTTGTAACCACTGATAGGTCTTTAGCTACTATTGCTAATATACTATTAAAGGATTAGGGCAGCACTGTCACCAGCAAAATGGGTCCTGGAGTCCAGAAGGAACATCCATTCACCAGTAGCAAATAAAAATAAAAAAAAAAATTAAATTAAATAAACAAAATTTATCCCTTAATAGCATAGTCGAGCGGTTCTTGGCAACTAGTTCTAGATTCTTCTAGTCCTAAGGTAATAGAAACGCCGAGGCTTCTCAAATGCTGGGAATATTTTACGGGTTTGGAAAGGGAGGCAGAGATTAATAATAATTATTAAAAAATTAACAATTTTATATTTAATATAAGTACAAAAATTGACTAATAGTTTTAAGAATAATTAATAAAATTATATTTAGGGAATAAAACACTGATAATATATCCAAAATTTAAATAAAGATTTAAGACATTAGATAAACATTTTATTGAAGTTTGGACTTATTAACAACAAACAATAGCACTGGAAACTTTAGCTATATAATAATCTAAAATATATATAGGATTACACTTTAAAAATAAGTAAAAGATATTTACCCAA